AAAAGGCAAACCACACAACATCGGAGAAGAGTTAATTTTGCCAGCAATAAAGGAAGTAATAACTACTGTGCTTCATAAACCGGCCGCAGATATTATCCGAAAAATTCCTTTGAGTAATAATTCTGTGCAAAGACGAATAGATGAAATGGCTGAAAACATGAATATCATTGTGCAATCATCTGAGGACTAGTCAATTCTCAATTCAGCTCGATGAGTCCACTTTACCAACTAATGAAGCATTGTTGCTGTCTTACTTGAGGTTTATTAAAGATAAGAAAATATGTGAAGAACTATAGTTTGCTAGAAATTTAGAGACCGTTACACAAGGCGAAACCATATTCAATACACTGCAAAAGTTTTATGATGAGAAAGAGATTCCCTTGAAAAATATTATATCATTTGCTACGGATGGCGCTCCGGCTATGACAAGGTGCCATAAAGGTTTCATAGCGTACTTAAAAAATAAAATTCCAGATGTCCTTGCTGTACATTGCGTTATTCATAGACAACATTTGGTTGCTAGAAATTTAAGTGAACGACTATTTCAATCACTGCAATATGTTATCAAAGCAGTCAACAATCCGTAACAGCTCTTTGAGATTATTTCATCAGCTTTGTGTTACTAATGACGAAGATTTCAACCGTTTGTTGTTTCATACTGAAGTTTGTTGGCTATCAAGAGGCAATTGTCTGACTCGATTGTACAACCTGTTTGACTCTGTGATAGAGTTCGTGGAAACTAAAGATACAGAATTGCAACAACAAAAACAACAAGCTCAATACATCAAAGAATGATATAGCTTACATGACAGACCTGTATAAATTGTTCAACGACATGAATCTCCAACTGCAAGGTGATGAACTAAATTTAATTAAAACAAAAAATGTCGTTGCTGCTTTCGCAGCCAAACTGCTTCTACACAAAAAGAATATGGGCAGACGTGAGTTTCACAATTTTCCGAATTTATCAGTATCCTGCAGTAACGACGACTTGTTTGCCTGCTGCCAACATTTGGAAAACCTCCACATTGACTTCACCGAACAATACCAGGACATTTTGAACTTGGAAATACCAGACTGGGTGTTGGATCCGTTTTCAAATGTCAACACAGCAATGTCACCTCAGCTGGAAGAAGAACTTATAGAATTGACAACCAACGCGGAAATAAAAATCAAGTTCAAAAATGGTTACCAAGAATTTTGGCTACAAAAACCGATCCCGCAATTGTACTCTGATTTGTGGTCAATCGTTCAACGATTCTTGATAGCATTCCCATCGTCATATTTGTGTGAACGTGGTTTTAGTGCTGTGACAACGCTGCTTACTAAAAAGAGAAATCGTTTGCATGTTACCGATCGTGGTGACTTGCGGCTGTTCTTGAGTAAATTGGAACCTTATATCAACAAACTTATTAAACAGCATCAGACTCATCCTTTGAATTAGTTTTTATATTCGAGTCGATTATGTTTGTTTTATTTTGAATAAAAGATATTCTGTCTGAATATTATAAAGTTGCGTTTCAATAATTATTCTCAATGGCAGGTGTAGCCCGTAAGAGTTAACTTGAGACCTGGGTGCCGTTGTGTACTACCTACTGCGCTCAGGTCTCAAGTTAACTCTTGCGGGTTTATAGTAAAAGTCTCGTTTAGAATGAATGTGTAATCTCCACTAATATAGCTCACAATAATTAATTTAATTTGAAGTTATAGTGGTTTTTAAGTACCTAGGTGAAAAAATTGAGGCGCTAAAAATAATTACCTATTGTATTAATAATTACTCTCAAAGTGGGCAGTAGACAAATAAAGTTTGGGAACCCCTGATCTAAAATGACATAATGGTTGAGAACTCTTAATATTTCACTTAAAAAGTTTTAAAAAATTGTCATTTTGGTTGATAGAATTGTTTCTATCAACCAAATATCATATTTCAAGATTGTTTTGTTATGTTCGATGGTTTGAAAATTTTGTGTTAAATACTGGTTGTCATAGTTTCTGGTCAGCTTTGTATAATTGAGTTATAATAGGTGTTAAAGTATGAAATTGCCGATTTGTACTGAAAATCTAAATTGTTTATTTTTTAAATTTTTAACAAATTTATTTAATCAAAATAGTTGCCATTATTATCTATACATTGCTGCCATCTAATGGGAAGGTTATTAATGCCTTTGCGATAGAACTCCGACGATCTAGACTGCACAAACTGTGTGAAAGCATTTTGTACTGCCTCCTGGGAAGAAAACTTCTTGTCACGTAGATAATTGTCCAAATCACGAAAAAAATGGTAGTCCGTTGGAGCAAGGTCTGGTGAATACGGAGGATGACGAATGGTTTCTAACTGCAGTGCCTGAAGGGTCAAAATGGTTTCTCGTGCTGTGTGAGGTCTCGCGTTGTCGTGGAGCAATAATGGTGAAGATCGATTCATGAGTCGGGGCTGTTTTACTGCTAGTTTTGTCAACATGGTTCGGAGTTCGGCACAATAGACATCTGCCGTTATTGCTTGACCAGATCGGAGAAAACTATAGTGAATAACACCATGCTGAGACCACCAAACAGTTACCATTACCTTTTTATTGGTAAGTTTTGCTTTAGGACACTGTTGTGGCATTTGACCTGGGGTCAGCCATTGCATTTTTCTTTTCCGGTTATCATAAAGAATCCACTTTTCATCACATGTTACAATTCGATCCAATATTCCTTCATTTCTGTACCGGTTCAACAAGGCAACACAAGTTTCAACACGCGTTTCTTTCTGCAGATCAGTCAAATCATGAGGCACCCATTTTTCGTGTTTTTTTTATTTTATTGATTTGACGCAAGTGAGTCAATATTGTGGGTAAGGTAACGTTAAACCATGCCGCTAATTCCTGGGTAGTTTGACTAGGATCGGCTTCCACTATCTCTCTTAATTCATCGTTATTCACCTGTGTGGGCGGTCTTCCTCGTGGCTCGTTCTTTAAGTCGAAATTTCCATCACGAAAGCGTTTAAACCAAAATCGCACGGTGCGTTCATTAGTAGACCCCTCTCCAAACGCAGCATTGATATTGCGGGCTGTTTCTGCCGCGTTAGTTCCGCGTCGGAACTCGTATTCAAAAATCACTCGAATTTTCGCAGTATCCATCTTTCTTGTCTAAATTGAATAACAAAAACAATTGAAAGTCGATATTCAAATGTTTCAAATTTAAAAAAAAAAATCACAGAAACCATTTCAAAAAAGTTTAATTCCAAAACCTCAAACCATGAAGATTCTATGAAAATTCAAAGAATCTATTGCAATAAAACGGCAATTTCATACTTTAACCCCTAATATAATAATAATAGTTTTTTATTTAAGACAATAAAGGTCCACTTGTTAGTCTTACAGAAATCTTATGTACTATGTTAGTTTATACTTCAGTATTTATGAATGTAATATAATAAAATAACATTAAAAACGAAAAATTGAAATATTATAAAATCATTTTTTTTAATTTAAATTAAATAAACAAAAATACACATTAAAACTGAATTAAAAGAAAATAAAATAAAAACCTTGCACCCCCAGCTTGATCTATATTTTAATTTAGTTTAAAATTTTGGGTGGGTTGCCGTACCAACATGCCAAGAAAATGCTCAAGCATGGGCAGAATAGCAGAATTTTACAAGCAATCATTTTCAGAATGCTGTTGGAACTGCTATATGTAGAGTTTAGTCATTTAAGTATTTTTGTATTTGACATATAATTGCGACATATATTGCGACAAATGACTGACTTATTATAATGGACCTTATTATGACATACGATGGTTATTAAGCCCAAAGTGAGGGTTTTTTAAATGCTACAAAAATATAAATTATTACAAAAGCACCAAAAATTGTACTTTATCCGATTCAGAGATTAATAAAGATGTATACGGAACATATTAAATCATATGAAACCCTAACTCATTCGATAAATTGGATTTGAAGTTAGGTGGGCCCTATTTGCCCAGAGTACCTTATTATAATAAATTGCCCTCAACGCACCCTTGGTGTAATTAAAACGAAATTACGATATCGATAACTTTTTTATGCTTAAATAGGAGGGTTATTAAATTTCAATATCATAAAAAAGTTCAAGTTGGCAATGAACAATACGTACCTATATTGTTACCTATGGTACCTGTATTGTTATACAAGAAAATAAATATATATTATAAATTTGAATTAGTAGAAACAATTGTGCCATCTCTTAAAATATGTCCTATGCTTTGATCCTAACAGAGTTCGTTCATAATCATATAAATTTTTAGTTACTGCGCATAAACATTATAGTATGCGATAGATGTGTCAAAATGCATTTCCTACCTAAATGTTTTGTAGGCACTTCAGTACTATTTTAAGTATTTGTTTTAATAATCTAGGTCTAAAATGGAGGCAGGTAAACGACACTAAAATTATAGCATGACATAAAAGGTTTTCACCCGAAAACATAGGTAATAAATAGTTAAACAGTTTTGTAATGCTTATAATTAGGGGAGGTGGATTTAACCCCAACTTAACCAATGAACAAAAACATACATTAGGATGTTCAACCAGGCCTGCATTGGATGGAACGCCACTTAGCACGGTTAGGAACGTGCTGCTATAACTTATACGGAACAAACAAAAAAACTAATTGTGTACGTGCAAAAAAGTAAATACCGTAGTTTTAATGTTAAATAAATAATAAAATATGTATAACCCCGCAGCCTGGAGCTTAGAAAATAGGAAGTGCTGCACAGGTTCTACACGGAACATCAGCTTTATAGGTAGGTATGTATAAAGCCTACGTCGGTAAATTTGGGCAGAAACGCGAATACATGGCGAGAAGGTTGATTTTACCATACCTGATACTTTCTTTGTCTTTGGGCATAAATAATTTCTTCATCTGCAATCTTAACAGTTTGAAAAGTTTTTACGACAAAAGCGTTGCTTAGCAAGTGGTGGTGGTTGAATTTCCGCTATTCAAGTCACTATATTAATATAAAAGCGTTTGCTTCAGCGGTTCAACACGAGCGTGGACCTCGCAAGCCTAAGCTACAACACGGCCTTGGCGGGTTGCCCCCACCATCACTAGCAACGCACAAACCACATGCGTTAAAGCTCTCGCCGCCGTCGCCTTATCCGCCCCTACCACAGCCCTTCAGTTTCCAGGTAACTAGATAAAACGAATATTTAAATATTAACCCACATACTCACGTAACATTCAAATCAGCTTTGTAGAAGTCAGGGATAACTGTTAATACGACCACATAAACTTCAATCACTGAACTCTACTTTGAGGCTTCGTTTCATTCGTCGAAAGATCCCAAAAGTTCTATATCTAGACCATGTAAATGACGTCAGGAGGATAAAAAAAATATGACTGACCGACAATAATAATACCTTAATCATTGGATAATACCTGAATCATTGAAAACAAAGGACATCATTGGAATGGCATTGTATTTTAGTTTCAATTGTTATGATTTCCTTTTAATCTGATCTATCTAAGACTTCAACTTAAATTATTCCATCTCTGTGACAGTTCAGCATATCAGGGATGACTGACTCTGCTCCGCTTAGCACCACGTCCTCAGCTGGCTCAAGCGGCGCAGGCGCAGCCGGGGCCGTGAGCCCGCTGCCGTTGGTACACGAGTCCTTCCTGGCGCCGCCGCCGCCGGGGCTCCTGCATATTCTCATGTCTAGTGATAAGTGTCAGGTAACATTTTGCGCTACACTTTTGTAAATATATCACACGAGATTACCTGATACCACTACAACGTAAAATGAGAATGTCTTGTTATTGTACTTAAATAGGTACGTACCTATCTGTCTTCATATAGTAGGCGAAAAAACTGTATTTTGTGATACGAGGACAAGTATTGATGCGTGTGTTTGAGAGTAATGTTTTCGGATTTAAGTTTCTTGCTATTTCTGCTTTATTGGATTGAGATTCGTTATTGCAGATAATTTTCCGAATTTCTTTAAAAATTCCTAAATAACTATTAAATTAAAAAGTTCTATCAGTGGGGAACTGTTTGCTTACCATTGTTATTTTAATTTCTATTATGTTGTAGTTCAAGCTGTTTGTACATGGTTTGTAACCTCTAAGATAAAATAATAAATAAAATATATAATATATATAGTCAAGTTTGTATAAAAAGACACTGAAAAAGAAATTGCATCCAACACTTAACAGTGAATAGGTTTGTTATACATATATTAAAAAGTGATTTTTTAATGAGATATTTGGATTATTGATAATTGCTTTCGTTAGGAGTTGATGTGGAGCGCTAAACAGCTCCAGCTTCAAGGTGACCCAACATTACTCAGACCACCGCCAAGCGCGTTCGGGGCTCCACTTGCGCCTACTTGGGAGTTGTTACAGGTAAGATTGCATAATTTATCAATACTTTATTGAAAGTTACAATGTGTATAACTTTCTGTCTAAAAGAAACTGTCTAAAAGTTATATAGGTACATTCAATAGTACATCAAACTTAACACTTTGTACTTTGGACCGTTCTTATCGCAAGCGGCATGTAGTTGGATTTAAGTCTTAAGTGTCAAGCTTGACGTGCGCTTGACCTTGTACCTTGTATTCATGTGGTAAATAGTTCATTAAAAAGTTTGAAGTAGGTATGTGTACCTACGAGGTAACTAATGCGACATTTAGATCCGTATGGAGCATCATGTAATTTTTTTTTATCTAAGTAAGAACTTCGATAAAATGTCAACTGCGTCAAAGTACCACTAAGTAGGCAAAATTGGGGGTGTGTGCATTAACAATTCGGTAGGTGGCTTTTTGACTAAGGGGCGGCGCGGAGCCGCGATTGGCCGAGAGGGGTGACTTCTCGCCTTGCCTTGACTTACCCCGCCTATCGTTCGCGGCCGTTACGCGTATCGCGACACAGGACTCGGTGTCTGATATCACTGATTGCCTGATTGATAGTCAAATTCTGTCAGTTCAGTTCCATGTGTAGGTGGATAATTATCTACAAGAAGTATACACAACATTAACTTTTCGTTTCGTACATACAATTATGTAATGATATGACTATCGCGTATCAGTTTCATGGTAACTTGTTGGGCGCCAAAATTCAATATCACTTTTTTCGTAGGAAACCAGCGCTCGGTTACTCTTTATGGCAGTCCGTTGGGTGCGATGCCTGGCTCCATTTCAAGCACTTGCGCCTTCCGATCAGTTGGTTTTATTACGAGCCGCCTGGAAGGATCTCTTTCTACTGCATTTAGCCCAGTGGTCTGCCCCGTGGGATTTGGCTCCATTACTCATCGCTCCAGCTGCTAGGGCGCGATTGCCCCCCGATCCATTGGCAGAATTGGAGCTCAACACTTTGCAAGTAAGTTGAAAATGATTAGGTATTGTTGAAATTTTAGTGATCGTTCGTTCGTTCGATCGATCGATCGTTATTTCAGGGAAACCGCGGCTGGAAGTTCCCGGGGTAAGTTGTTCCGACAGCAATAATTTTGCAAGGAAAAGAGATATCAATACATGTGAAGTGTATCGTTAAACTGTTAGGTGACCCGTTTTGCCGATAGCTATTTCAGTTACTCCGGCGACGACGGATGAATGAGTGGCTATGTGCGTAGAGCTGTCAAAATATCACCTACGTATTTTTTTCTTTTTTAAGTTTATTAGATGTCACGATGTTTTACTACCATGATATTGAATTTTTTTTTGGCACGGATTGCTTGAGGGTGCTGGTTCGAATCCAGCCGGATCGATTGAATTTTTCTAAGTGTTCAATCTTTGTTATTAATCAAATTATAACAATTTTTTTCTTTAAATTTTTCTTGTTTAAACTTTTTGGTCTGTCTTTGACACACACGGAACTTATGTAAATTGTATGTAGTGACATTAGTAAGGTATCTTATTGTTTGAGCTTTTTTTATTCTATTACTTTGCCAGTATATCAGTCTTCGTATAAAAACGTAATTTGGGACTAAGTATAAGTTCCTCACTCGAGGGGCTGCTTGTTCCCAGGAACAACTTACCCCATTGACCTGCAATCGTAGGTACTTAACATTCTTATGACCCTATGATTTTTTTAAGTTTAGTTGAGCATTACATACCTACTTAGGTACATATGTGCAACTCTATAAAAGGTTGTTTCTTTTTAGGAATCTTTTGTTGTCCTGACAATATATTGTCATAATCTAAACGGAAGAATTTGCCAAAAAAGGCGGAACAGCGCGTCCCAAAGCGAGGCTGAATGTTCCGCTCCGAATTTTTTCTAAAAGTGGCTTCTTTAAAAAAAAGGATATTGAGATATTAGTAGAAGTGACTGTACTTAATATAACAGAAAACGATACCTAAACATTTGTTCAATATTACCACTTGTTGAAAATCAAACCCTTTACTTTCATTATAAAACTTCATGTTATTTGAAGATCGGAATGTTCAGCCCCGTTTTCCGTATATTACATAACTAAGAATGAAAAAAGTCATTCATAAGATCTATATTTATTACGATACAATATAAACGGTTCTTATTATCTAACATTTTTATTTCAGGATATCTTGTGTCGATTTCGTCAAATTGCACCCGACGGTAGCGAATGTGGGTGCATGAAAGCAATCGTTCTATTTTCTCCCGGTAAGTTATAACTATCCTATAAACGTGTTCTGTACCATGTGTAGACAGACACATTGAGTAGATAAAGAATATTGACGTTTTAGATACTTAATAAAATTTATTTTGATGACGACAATTAAGTTTAAATTCTTAACAGATACGCCAGGGCTAAGTGAGACTCAGCCAGTGGAGATGTTGCAAGACCAAGCGCAATGCATTCTAGCTGACTACGTGCGAACTAGATACACTCGACAGCCTACAAGGTTTGTGCAGTTAGTTAGTCTAGAGTTTATCAAACATTGTTACTTTTCTAAACTGCTTTGTACACCATATAAATAACGTAAGGTATCTATAATTAATTAACTGCCGCCGTGGCCGAACGATTACCATGCTGGTCTGCCACGCAGAGGTGCCGGGTTCGATTCCCAGACCGGGAGAAATATTTTTATGATCTACATTTGTCTCGGTTTGGGAGTAATTTGTAGTTGTCAGGGTTTCCCTAGTGCGGGGTTACGAATGCGTGCATTATTATTATAATTTTAACCAAATAATTTAGGTTTAGTCCACCATTACTTTTATTAACCATCTTCAACAAAAAAACTCAATTCAACCGTAAAATTTCAAAACAAATATTTTTTTTGTATGTATGTTACGCGATAACTCCGTTTTTGTCAACCGATTTTGATGATTCTTTTTTTGGAAAGAAGGGTACCTCAGTATTGGTCCCATTTAAATTTGAAGAAAATATTCCTCGTCTATGGGTGGCAAACTAGAGGCAGAATCCGGTTTCGCGCACTTTCAGATTTCAATAAAACTTAGCAAATATTTAGATGTAAGTAATTCCACGCACTTTTGAGGTTGGTATTTTTATAAAAAGTTATAGTCGGTACGTACGGTAGGGAGTACCCACGGAATAAAAAAACAATGAAGTGCCATAAGCCTCGATTACTATCGGAACAACGGACACGGAAGAAAAAACAAACATTGGAAAGGCTATTTTGCCTCGATTACGCACACAATCAAATGATAAACACTACGAAATCTTGATAATGATTGGCTTAGTTTCTGTATACATTTTTTTTTTCTAATTGAGAAAGATGTGACAAATTCCTTATTGTTAATATAATTTAAACTTTACTTAGTCGCTTTATCGTTAAAACTTCATACTTTTACTGCAAGTGACGACGTTTTGATTTTATATTGAAATTTTATTCAACATGCTGCTATCTTGCGGCCAGTAGCTGGACTACAATGAACGATTGATATCTGAATCAATTCGATAAACAGAAAATTGAAAATGTATTAAGACTTACCGATAACGTGAAATACTACCATGGGTAATATTTTTGGTGTGGCCATTGGCTTTTTGCAAGTCAATGGGTGTGGCTATCATTTTGCACTCTAAAAAAGCACAGTAAGGCATTTTTCTGCGACTTTAGAGAATTTGCACGAAAGAATGACACAACGTTATATTTTCTTTATTGCACCAAATAAATACAACAGAAATATTAGATTAACAGAAAGTGAGGAAGGTGGACTTATCTCTAAAAGAGATCTCTTCCAGCCAACCCAGAGCAGTGAGAGCTAATGTTCTAATGTTATAAGCGGGCAATAGCGTGCAAGAGAGAATGCGGAAGAAATATAATAAAGCACATAAATAAAAAAATACCATTACTTGCAAAGTATTATTATTTATATATATATATACACACACACACACACATAAATAAGTAAGTAAAAAAAACAATAAGATTACTAAGATAGTCCGGCAAGAAAGTGCGCTTTCAACCTTTTCTTGAAAGAAACGTTAGACGGGCTAGACAGGATATGGGAAGGAAGTCTGTTCCACAACTGCGTTGCACGAGAAGAACAGGAATTGAAAAAGAAATTTGTTTTACAGTTAGGACGGACGAGCATTTTAGTGATGCACGGATGCCTTGAACGGGTGGTACCATACCATACCAAGAGAAAATGGCGGACTGAGCTGAAGTAGGTCTTTCGAGACCTAATATTGGCACGCGTCGGCCGCTAACTAACCGTTTCTACTGTATTTATTGTTCTGTGGGCACAAGCCCTTACTTTTGTATGGAGTACCGTTACTATACTTGTCTTAATTATACAATGCATTTTCGCTATAGCTGGCTATAGTGAGTGTGTCAAATACTTATTTACTTACGACATGTACTTTCTTAGTTGTCCATTTTTAACGATACTTACTTTTGTTTTTAGATTCGGTCGTCTACTCCTGCTACTTCCATCTCTCCGAGCAGTGCGATCACGGTCCATAGAACTACTGCTATTCCGGGACACGGTGGGAGACGTTTCTGTGGCCACTTTATTACACGACATGTACCGCATGCAACCCACTCCTGCACCACCATTCCAGTCAACGGCTCCAGTTCCTATTTCTGCCTCATCCAGCACTGAACAATGTGCATCTCCTTAAATTAGTCTAAATAATAATTTATCACACAGTGGATCACAGCTCTTCGCGACTGCTTCAATTAGAAGTTAGATATTATTAATTTGATTGATATCTAAAAGATGGATTTTTAAAAAAATTTCACATTAATAAAATACACAAGATCCAAAAATTTAAGTGTAACTATTTAGAAAAAAGTTTCGTAGTTGAATCCAAACTTTGCTCTTTCCTCGTTGTGTACTCCGCGTAAAAAAAAAACCTCCTGCTTTGCATTGCTTGAAAAAATATGTCTGGTTTGTTTCTACTTTTGAGCCAGCACATGTTATGTATAGGCTAAAGAGAATGTCAGACTACATTTACGATTGAAATTCAACTAAATGCGACGTGCAATAAGAACAATCCAATGTTAAGTATGATGAGCTCTGCTTGTGCACATGTTTCTTTTTAAAAGTTCGCTTTTTTCACAATATCCAATAATTATGAATGCACAGACTGCTCATATTGTCGCTTTAGAGAATATATTACAAAAATAAAGTTATATAAACCAAAAACAACATCTAGTCCGAATATTAACTCCTTCTAGTTACAAAACTAGTCACTTAGTGTAAAAAGATAAGTTTCGTTTTTTATTTTATGTAGAAAAGTAAAATTTAAAAACAAAACCTTATATTACTCAGAATTTACAAAACATATCCTTAATATTTTAAACTCGTGTAAATATATTTATTGGAATTAATTGCTATGTATATCAATTGAAAAATGATTAATACATGTTACAATGTACATAAAATTGTTCTATCTCTGTGTATGATGCTGAAATTAAACAAATGGAAATAGTAAAAGCACATTTTATTTGCCCATCAAATAAATGTACATCAACCATGATATCATATAATAATTCATATATAGTTCATAGTGAAAATATTCTTAATAGCAAAAAAAAAGCTATTTATGCATATTTTCACTCAGCTGTGACGTTAACTTTTCCCATAGAATGAATGGCCTCTACAGTGGATAGATCAACAGAATCATCTTCTTGTATGACCTGAGGTTTTGGTTCTTCATTCTTGGGCTCGGCCCTTGGGAAGTCGAGCTTAGCCCAAGCACCAGGCTCTGCTTTTTTTAGTTTGATTTCTACTTTTGAAGGCATCATGGATGCACTACTACTTTGTACTGTAATTACCTGAAAAAGAGATGGTAAATTAAAAAAAATGTGGATGAATTTCATAAACATATTATGTACTATAATAAATTGTGTGTCCTCATTTTGGAAAAGTTAAATATGCAATATATTTGTAAATAATTCGAATATTTTCATTTTACTAATTTAAATAATGAATTCCATATTATGTTCAGTAGAAAAATAGAATAATTAAACACTTACTCCTCTAAGTTCGAGATCCAATTCAAATACGGCGTCCCCTTCTTCACGAAAGACTAACTTTATGTTAAGCCGGATAGGGTTAACTTTGATAAAACTCAGCGTTGGATCGTATTTTTTTGCGTAGACACTCACTATGACGTAATCAGGTGTTTGATGCCAGTCCCAGCGACACTTGACAGTGCCTGCTGCTGTACCCTATAGATATAATAGGTATTATTAATCGATAGTATTGAAATTATTATATTGAAATACTGAAATTATTAAGTGAAGGGCTATCATAGGCTATATCTGCAAAGTTGTTATTTAAAATGCAACAATTATTCTATTAAATATCATGTTTTTCCTACCATGATATTCATATATTTTTTGTAGAAATGCTCCACTAGTTTGGTGTTATTATTGATACAAAGATGGAAAAAACACAAAGATAAATTCCTTTCATCTGGCTTGACCAGAATCATCGTCTGTTTGCCAAGCTAACCGCTGTCCCAACTAAGGCAAGGAACTAATCAGTAGACCTTACGAATTTCTCTATGTGCATGTTGATGATCTTTGTTCTTTGGGTTTATACGGCTTTTTTGACATAGTTCCACCTGTAAGAAAACTATGAAAGCTTTTTCTTCAATATTCTTTTCTTGTTTTAAAATTTTTACAGTTATTACATTGCCTAAGTTGTGTTATGTTTTAAATTATCTAATAATTTTGACAAAACTATGTGTAAACTTTTGTCCATAATTGAAGTTATAAAAATAAAATAATAATAATTTCACCTCTTTAGTCCATTTATGATAGCCAGAAGTACAACCAGGTTGACTGAGGAAGGTGTTGAAGTCTGTGGTTCTTCTCTGACAGCAGGACCAGAACTTAAGACCTTCATGGAACACAGGGCAGCCGGGATGGTAAGTGCAAATGGTGTCATTAGATTGTGGTCCCTCATAGGTGGTACCACAACCACCATTTTTGCACGATGTACCAATTGCTATGTTGCTGGAAATTGGGTAATTTACAATTAACCATCGAGCCTTTAGATCTATGGAATGAAAAACCCATTCTTCCCAACTGTTCATATTCATGAAACTCTTCTGCAGTAAGTGGGTGTTGAACTAAATGCATATTGGCATCAGCCTTATTAAGTTCTTAGGTTTTCGGGATTGTTACACATAAAGAAATTAAACTATTATTCGGATCTAAATTGCATACATTTGTTTTTTCAAACAAACCAATGTCTGACGGTGTCGGCTGTGACCATGAATACTGTGCATACATGGGAATTGTAAACCTTCCTTTCGCAACTTAGATCTGAAAACAGTTTCATTTCCAATTTATTAACTAACCGTATATGTGGCAACCACTTTACACAAACTTGTAAATTTTACATGAGTAAACTCATTACATAACTACTGATTTTCTGTAATAAATTTCTTATTACAATAATATGTAACATATTTCTAAATTTTAAAAATACATACAGTAACAATGATACAAAGAGTATAAACACTTAAAGTATCAATCAGAATTGCATTGTGTAAATTAAGTTTTGAAAATTAAAATCAAGATATCATACCCATCATCGACAGTAGCAACTTTCTGTTCAGTCTTCTGTACAAGATCCCTCAAAGAGTCAGCAATACGAGCTTCCAAAGTAACCAAAGGACTTTCAAATGGCGGTCTGATTAACTGAGGTCCTGTTATTGGAGCCCTTACTTCTATAATCTCTTTTGTCTCCAGTTCTTTGTCAAGGGCTTTCTTTTCTGGCTCTGGTGGTTTCTGAAAATATGGATTTACAGGTTTTATGAATTATAAACAATACACACTTTTATTTAAATCATTATGGCTTGTTGAACAGTGAAAAAAATTGAAATAAAACAAATTTAGAATACTTTGTTAAAACAAGGAAAAATACATTATTTTGTTTCATAAACAGGTAAATTAGTCATTTACTTATGTACCGGTTTATGGAAGTCATTATGATGAGTTCTAAATTTACGTTGACGGAATCATCAATTGATTGTGCCAAATTGTATTGAATAAATCAACAACATTAATCGTAAAGTTAGATAGATACATACAACATTTGAATGCTTGGACAAAGTGCAGCCTTTAATATTCAGAAACTCCGTAAAGTCCACGCTCTTCTTATTACAGCACGACCAGCCTTTGTATGCGTCGTGGAAGACAGGGGAGCCAGGGTGATGGCAGCAATCATCTAAAACAAATTTGTAATTGAAAAACAAACAACGCAATTGTATTATTGCCTTAAAACTAAGACGTTTATTACAAAAGTTTGGTGATCTATAAATAAATTAGAATGCTTTGTCGGTTTCTATGGCGAGAAAGCTCTAGAAAATTCTTTTACCTTTATCGTTCTTATTAGGGTCAAAAAGCTGACCACAACCACGATTGTAGCACTGCACCAAATTCTTATCTTCCGGCATTTTGAACGTTTAACGCAATACGAACAAAACTCGGAAAAAATAATGAAATCAAATAATGAAGTAATAACAAAGTACCAAGCAATTCGCGAGCAAAACGGATCTTCTTCTATTAACCTTTGCTATTAACAGAGGTATAATGACACTAACAGGCTGACAAGTGACAACCATTTTTTTCTTTTAAATTTATTAAGGCTTTGGCAAAGCCATCAGCCTAAACATGAAGTTTAAATATGTTTCTGTAAATATGGCCGCCACAAAGAGGATAGGCAATTTGGGGCGGCGGCGTGCTTAGATTGACTCGGGATTCCTTAAAACGGGCCGATACGGGTATTTTAGTTCGAGATTCGTATAATTTCGCGTTTTAATCTTCGATTAAGGCACAATAGCACTATCCTGTTCCACTTTAAACTAGATTTCACAAAATAATTGAAAGTCAAAATAAAAACGACACTTTCCCTCCAAAAGGTCCAGAGCGAATCCAAGTGACAACCATTTAACAGATAGTGTTCATACATTTTTTATTTATTTGTTGAGCATTGGCTATATAGAACCATGAGCTAAAACAAGCAACAAACAATTAAGAAACTCAAAACGTAATAATACTTAAACTAAAAATTGATTCGTGAAAAAACTGAAACTTCTAGAAGTTGAACACTAGTGTTCATAGAGTATTTTAGAGATGGGCGGTGAGTCAAAACCCAATCTGCACCCCGGGTTTTAATCGAGTTTTCACCCAACGTACCTGGTTTTTACCCATTTCTGCCCAAAATCGAGGACAGAAACCATTATACGCGTTAAATAATATGGTTTTGTTATAATTCCATACTAATTTGAAATTTAGATATAAAAAATCATTTTTAAAAGAAAATGAGGCAATCCCACGCGCAATGTCCGCCACGCAATCCTGTGGGCTCTTACTTACTGCGTTGCGTAATAACAAAATTAGTATTAGGAACTAGTAAAAAACAAGATTGTTCTTCACGGCCCAAATATTTTAACACTATTTTGTTATTTTTCTATTTCAATTACGCGTTTTAATTTTAAACGTGAATAAAAAATTGTTTTGTATTTTTATAATCATAATGAATATTCTTTACAAAAACAGCGAGGTATCTTTATTCTTTTTCCATCCTCTGAAAGAATTACCTACATGGTTTTTTAAATAGGATTTTTGTATAAGGAAAGGAATCATATGGAAAAAATGTAACAAATAGACTTAGCAAAAACAGTTTTTTGTCAATAATGAATGAATCATATACTGCGGTTTTTTAATAATACGCAAATAATTTTTGTTTTTAGGTCAATTTTCATAAATTTTGAGGGAATCAAATCCTGAATAGTTTACAAACGCACCCAACTAGACAAAAAGTAACTAAGAGAAGGCGCAAATAAAATGACATCGATCAATGATTAGTTAAAGCTTTTTTTTATGAGCGTTCTTACTTTTTTATTTTTACTATTTATATATACACATCTAAACCAAATGATAATATTTAATTTAAAAAATGAACTTGTAAAATGTAACTCTTGCAAACAAAAACATAACTTTTCGAGTGACGAAATGTAATTTTCATTCAATACCCTAATGGCCCTAGCAATACTACGGCAACACTAATTGTGTAATTATTTAGTTGGCGTCAACCAATAGTCTGTGGCGTCAACGCAATGAAATCAAATCAATTATTGTTATAAAGCTATTGTTGTCGTAACCATTAACCAATAAACAAAACAAAACGTCTTTTTTCAGCACCAGTTGTTTTTAAATTGATTGATATTAACTGCCTGTGGATATCAAATATTAAAATCGATACTTTTCTAATTGCATAAAGCATAAAATCGTAGTTTAAAATATATTACTTATATTAACAAAAAGATAATAAATAGCAATAAAATATAAAATGAGAAAGGGAACTATAATAAACTACTGTAAGATTTGGAAATAGTGGCGTATCCAATCATGTGATTAGCGCCATTGGTTATTACACACTTGCTTGTTCGCGCAACGCAATCATAGCAGCAGAATAGCAGTATAACAACAGCCGTTTAGACAGTTGTTCGATAATGAATTATACATTGCGTAAGAATTATTTAATAAGCATTACATTATCGGCTGTTGCAATAATGACCACCTTTAGTTAACAATGGTAGCCCTATTGACATCTGTCACAAACTACTAATCATCTGTCAAGTAAGTTTTTATTTTTACGGCTTGACGCTTGGATTTTGTCCTCCATCGATCCGATGAAAATGTATTAAAGAAAAATACCTAAATCAATAATTCAGACAAAGATAGCGTATGCCTTCTGAGCAATCTTTCCTTACATTCTATCATAAAAAGTATTGTGAAATTGTTTAGGAAATCTGTACATTTAGTGAAAATTTTGTTGTGTGGGCGTATGGAATTATATGGATTTAATTATTATTCTCGAAATTAAATTATTTAAAGAGCAAATATGTGTAATGAATTGTTGAACTATGAATGTTCATGACTTATATTATAAAGTTTGTGTGTTAGTGTAGTAAGTGCAAGCTTTAAGAAAATGCTACTGGGTATGATAAATGGATAAACAATTAATTCGCGATTTAAGTTATATTTTCAAAACGATGCATTTACTTATTAAGTTAATTTATCGTATAAGTTATATCGATATAATGTGTCGTATTATTTGAGTGGTGCTGATAGTTTGAGCCACAATGAACCTAATGCGCAAATTGCGCGGAGCCAGTTCGTCGGCACCTTCGGATGCTGGCGAGGCCACAGGCGCCTCGTCACATGTCCAACTGGGGCTCATGCACTTGAAGAAGCTGTTCGCGGAGTACACCCACCCCCCGCAGCCACTCACTGATGCCGAAAAAGATGACAAACTGTACAACATGCTTCCTCTGTTTTGCAAGGTAACTTTCGTAATTTGAAAATGCCAAACGTCGTACAAAAGCCTGCCAAAAAAAACTACACCAAGTAAAAGTTGCTCCAACTAAATCTATAGGATTTAAATAATAATTCTTTTTACTTTTGTTATCAAATTTTCGTCTAAAATTTACGCTACCAACATTTGTATAGGTATTTGGCACAAGTCCATCAAAGGAGATGAATGAAAAGTTCTGGGATATATTATCATTTTGTCAACAAGTGTCGAAGCTCATGGTATCAGAGATTAGGAAGAGAGCAAGTAACCAAAGCACGGAAGCAGCAAGTTGTGCTATTGCTAAGTTCCTGGAGATTGAGAATTCTGAAGAATCTAGTAATGGTTGGATGTTGCTGTCTACTTTGAACCTTTTAGCTGCAGGCGATCAGTCTCTGATACAGGTGGGCCTTTTATCTTTTTTATATATAAAATATTTATTATGGATTAACTGTGTGACTTGGAAAAAATTTAAAGATTCTGTTGATTCTGTTATTTTAATTTTCTAAATGCCACTTATAACATAAGCTGGGCACCGTAGTAGGCAAATAAACAATGTTAAGAGTGTGAGTCATTGTTTACTGAATGACTACAATTTGGTTATGCTCTATAACCAATCAATGAATCACAAAATTTTGTGCACATTGTAAAATAACACATTTTTGATTTATTACAATTTTAACACACATTACTTTTAGTGTTATTTCCAATTTAAATTTATAATTTAACTTCATATTAATGTATTTTTTAAATATCAATTTTCAAATTATAATAATTTTCCAATCAAAAGATAAAACCTGGATTACCGACTGCCTGGTGAAAAATAGTATGTAAACCTTTTAAGGGAACATGAGTGATGTAAAAATATAAACGCATTACTACCCGTAGTTGCAATATTGAGATATCAACAATATTCAAACTGAAATTATCTTCTGAAGTTGAAAATACTTTTGTAAAATTGACACTGAAAACTATTTTTCAGGATTTTATACAGTATACTATGTTTTTGTATGGGATAAAGTATAGCTTTAAAATCAGTCACAAATTGATTATAATCATTAAACAAAGTATTTTATGGAAAATGTACCATTTATACTGTTAAATCCACATCAAGGTCAATAAATAATGTGGTATGAAATTAAATCCATTTTTCATTTGTAGGTCATGACCACTGCATCCATACCGTCAACACTAGTCAAATGCTTGTACTTGTTTTTTGATCTACCTGAAATACCAGAATCAGAGGCAGATGTTCAAGAAACTGGGAGTGACTTCACTCCTAGAGAGAGGAGAATATTATTGCAGAAGATATTTGTACAGGTGATTATGTTACTTCTTAAGGTTTTACGTGATACGGCGTTAATACCACGGCTGGAGACAATTTTCAGTGTTTCTAATGGAATGTACTAGTGAAGTTTTAATATTATAAGTATTAACAATATGGTACCTACAGCACTTACAATAATTTCGCAAACAACTTAAAAATCTCTACTTCACACATGTATTTCAGCATAATAGTATTCTGTAGGATGAAGTATGAGCGCTATTGTTTTAGTTACGAAACATTGGTCTATTTAGCTCTTATCATATCCTATTTACAACATTAGCACGTGTATTGTGCGCGTGCGGTTTTGATGACTGTTCAATTGGCACATGATGGAAAACCATTTCATTATTCTAAAATTGATATCTCAAAAAATTGTTTTGTCCCTTAGTCGCGTTTAGTCATTGACTTACAAATAAAAGGACGACGACGGGTCTAATACAAAAACCACGAAAAAAATGTCCCAAGTCAACCTATTTAAACGTAGTGACATGTAAAGGAATATGAAAAAGCTAAAATGTTGAATTTAAATTGTAATGTCATCGCAGTACTGTCTAATTTTGCTTGCTTCGCTGTCAGTTGAACAAACGAAGACTAAAGCGTGAATGACGCTCTGTATACGATTTTAACGCCCTATGAGTTCGGACACTTTTTAGCGCGAACCCGACGTCCATGTAATTGTAAGTCATTGCGTTTAGTATATAATCTGCTGCCCACTAACTAAAACGCGACTAAGTGACAAAACAATTCTTTGAGATATCATAAAAATCCATAACCCAGTTTTAGAATAATGAAATTGTTAGATGATATTTCAGCTATGCTTTGTTAGGGTAAGTTCCGATAAGTCAAACACATTATCCAATTTTAACTGTTTTGAAAAGAGAATTTTCTGATATGTTTTGCTATTAAAAACGGTTATTTGACCATTTGTCACTTAGCCGCATTTTACCATCAGGCGCACGACTTGTTCGTCCCTACACTTAGTTCATAAAAAAGATCAACTAAATTATTTTATTTAGGTATATTTAATATAATTATAGAGGTATAATATATCGTTATTTATTAATTGATAAATTATAACGTAAGTTTTTATTTATAGCATTCATTTTTATTTTTATATTGGAACCTTTCCTCTACCTAAAATGTTGTCTGGAAGAGATCGCTCTTACCGATAAGACCGCCTTTGCCTACATTAATTTTAAGTTGTTTATATACTGTTCTGGTGTGTGAGCAATAAAGTGTATATCAATCTATCTAAAATTATGATAACTTGCCGTCGAGTAACAGTTATTAACATTATTATGTTTTCTATTTGTACAGGTTCTTGTTAGACTATGTAGCCACCCATTTCCTTGTGAGGAGCTAGCGAGAAAAGACGACTTAAGCCTACTGTTCTCAGCCATAACATCATGGTGCGCTCCACATAACATAATGTGGCGGAAGTCTGCCGCGGAAGTGCTTATGACGTTATCTAGACACGGCCTGACACAATCTGTAGTGCAATATATACATAGTAAGTATTAGATCATAGTTACAGTCATGATATGTATCTATGACTGTCGATTTGAGTCGAACTTTGATTTCAAAAGCATATTATTTTAATAAATAATAGTTTATGACAATGTTTTTCGGCATTAACTGGAACAGAAACATAACTGTTTTTAATGATGTTGGTATTCTTATATAATAATTATTTAAGAAGCAAATGGCAAGATTATTGTAATTTGATAGTTTTAGAATCAACAGTTGAAATGCAACATTTATAATCGTCGTATAGTGTAGTGTCATAAGTACTGTCGCAACCACAATATAACGTGAATGCTTTTTCAGCTAAGTGCCCATTTAACAAATTTAAATTTGTTTTGTTTGTAAATTTAAATCGAGTCACATGAGGACATAATAAGAGTAAGGCGACGTCTATTTGCCCATCCCATCCATTGGAATCTTGACATTATGAGCAACATGTAGTCAGATAATTAAAGATTTTTCTTTACTAATCTAAAACCTTTATTAACCTTTGTAGGTAGACCTACATAATTATTTGTCATGCATCAAAGTTTTTTGTTCACAGAGTAGCAAAATAAGCTCCTTTTAAAAGCATTTTTACAGATTTTAAGTTTTTGTATAATCATCTAATCTCAAATTTCAGACAAAGGATGTGTGGCCTTGTGCATAGAAAATATGCAGAGAATACCTGAATTGACTCCGTTAGAGGTAATTGTACATGTTTGTTATTTAATTTTATGAAATAAATTATGTAATATTTGTAAGATATGAATATAGTCATATTGTGATTATAAATGAAACGGACCCCAAATTGCTGTTTTTGTATCAGTTCCTTCTTGATTCTTGGTGATTCGACGTAACTTAAACAAAGAAAAAAATTATAGTAGTTCGACTCATCTGTACAACAAAGATCTATATGCAAAACTACTTGTTCTCAGGATATAGTACATTTCGTTCGTTCTTCTTCGTTGTGGATATCAGATCGACGGTTGCTCGATTTTATATTTCCAAAATGACATAAGATATATAAATTCACAAAACACCTTTACGTAGGCCTTAGTTTGAATAAGGAAATTATTACGTAACGTACTTATTCTCTTTTCGCTATATAATCACATCGGACTCTGTTCTTCGGATGAGTCGAGTTTATTATTATTAAGCATTAGGTTGGCTTTAGGTTTCTATTTG